CCAGTGGCTTAAAACTCATGCTGGGCTCATGTGCATGCGTGCCCAAGATCCTGAGAGGAGAGTGGAGTAGAAGGGATTGTGGCGTGGCCATCCCCCCTGAGGGGTGATTTCTCGCTCTCTGTCTCTCTGTCTCTTTCTGTCTGGCGAGCACACGTGCCCTATAGCACAAACCTCTTAAAAAAAAAATAGATTTACTGCCCTTGTTACTAAAATCCTAAAATTCTAGTTAATGAGAGGCTGGCAGGTGGCATGGTGGTTAAGGGTGCTAACTGCTGGTCCCCTCTCTTTTAATTTGACCAGAGAGGGAAGGAGGAGGAGAAAGAGAGAGAGAGAGAGAGAAAGTGAAAGTGAGAGGGCAAACTGCCAGGGCCAAGACTTGAACTGTAGTCAGCCATGTGGGAGTCCAGCACCCTTAACCACCATGCCACCTGCCAGCCCAATATCTATACATTTTTTATGATTGCTTTAGAAATTCTAAATTTCTTCGCTTTGTTTTATTCTAATCTCTAGAACCTTTAGATGTGCGTTTTTTTTTTTTTTTTTCTGTAGGGTGCATGTGCTCATATATATATATTTTTTTTTGAGAGAGAGAGAGAGGAGAGAGAGAAGGAAAGTGAGAAATAATTACCTTACAGTGGGAATGGCCATACCACAGTCCCTTCTCCTCTAGTTTCTTCTTGGGATTTTGGGCACACATTCTCATGTGTCTGACGTGATTTTCGAGCCCCTGGGTCTGGGACTTGCACTGCACAACTGGCCATGTGTGATCCAGCACCCACCTCCGTGGCACCTACTGGCATTACTTCTAATAACTTTTGCCTATTAGATACTTTTCGTGTGCTCTGGTTAAGTTCTTTGCCTTGATTTTCTTGTTTATCTTTACAGTAACCACAAGAAGTAAGCATTCTCATTATGAGGAAGCTGAACTGAGAGATGTCATCTACTGCATGCACATATAGTAAATAGGGTGGAGCTAAAATTGAGGCAGTTTGATTCCATAGTCTCTGCTTTTCACAACTGTGCTGTTTTATTGGAATTTAAAGTTTTCTTTCCTTCCTTTTATTTATTGTAATGTAGTAGTGTTTTAGAAATCTTATTTTGATTCTATTTGCTCCATTTTGAATTTTAAACCAATAGAGATGTGCATTCAGGCGGGGTGAGTGTGATTTCTGTTGAGCCGTTGATTAATCATTGATGAGAGTATTGAAGCATTTTCCAGTTGAAAACAGACTTTATGACATACTCTGACTTTTTCCCAGATTGCTATGGTAACTTGTGCTTGGGGATTTGTATTTTACATATAAATGGGTGAAATATTGAATATAACCAATGTGACTACATTGCTGAGTAGTAGACATTTTTGAGTAATTAATATAAAACATTTATGAATAACAAGTAGGTAAAAGTAAATAAATATTAGATATTTTAAGTTGAGACTATCAGAGTATTTCATAACATTTACCAAATTGGGATTTGATCCTGTATTACTAACTACCTGAAACTATTGATAACCCTTTGTTACCCTCTTTTTTTTTGGATAATGATGGAACTGTGTTTTCTTTGTTTTGTGACTCCTGTATAACATTCCCCCCCCCATTTGCCTAATTTAGATTTAGAATGATTTTTTAAAGAATCATTTATTTGATTTGTTATTATTATTATTATTTTAATTTGCTACGGGGCCTGTGCACACATCAGAAGGAGACAGAGAGAGAGGGAAAGTGAGAAAGCAAGCCGTTAGGTCTAGGACTTGAACCAGTTAGCCATGTGGGAATCCAGTGCCCTAATCACCATGCTAACTGTTCACGCCCCTAGATTTAGAATTATTAAGCAAGGCTCTGGACAGTTCCACATGGCTGACCATGGTTTGAGTCTCGGACCTGGTGGCTTGCTTCCTAATAAATAAAATGTAAAGATTCGTTAAAAAATAGAAAAAAATATTAAGCTAAGTTACTTTTATGGAATACTAAACATGGTGTTCTTTGTTAAATTATTTTAGATCTCACTTTTGATTAGTATGCCAGTGATATTAAGAGTACTCTAGGGACCAGCAGATGGCATAATAGTTATGTTGCTGGACTCCCATGTAATTGATCATGATTTGAGTCCCAGACCCGGCAGCTTAAAAACTCATGCCAGATACATGTGTATGTATGCCCAAAATCCCAAGAGGAGAATGGAGGAGAAGGGATTGTGGCATGACCATCCCCCTGGGGGGTGATTTCTCTCTTTCTGTCTGTCTCTCTAGTGAGTGCACATGCCCAATAGCAAAAAATCTCTCTTTAAAAAAAAAAGTACTTTAGGCCCATCAGTGATGTAGTGGTTAATGCCGTGGACTTCCACATGGCTGACCGCAGTTTGAGTCCTAGACCCGGCAGCTTGAAACTCACATTGAGTGTGTGTGTGTGTGTGTGTGTGTCCGTGCCCAGAATGCAGAGAGGAGAATGGAGGAGAGAAGATTGTGGTGTGGTTATTCCCCTGAAGGGTGATTTCTCACTTTCTCCCTCTCTGTGTCTCTGGTAATCGCTCTGAAAAAAAAAAAAAAGAGTACTTTAGGTAATTTTTACAGAGCAAACGCATATTCAGAGGAAGTGAGTCTTTGTTCAAGAAATGAAAGGATAATAGATACTTTTTTTGTAAGTTTTTTTTCCCCCATAGGGCATATGAGCTCACCAGAGAGAGGGAAAGTGAGAAAGTAGGAGGATGACTACACCACAATTCCTCTCCCTTATTCTTCTCTCAGGATTTTGTGCACACATGCACAAGTGCCTGGTGTGACTTTTCAAGCTGCCAGGTCTGAGACTCAAACCATGGCCTGCCATGTGGGAATCCAATGCCTTAATCACCACCCCAGCTGCTGGCCCCAGTAGCTACTTTAAAAAAAAACCAAAAATTTATTAGGAGAGATTTTTGCTATAGGACATATGTGCTGGCCAGAGAGACAGAGACAGAGAGACAGAAAGCAAAAAATCACCTCGTAGGGGCATGGCCAGGCTGCAGTCCCTTCTTCTCTATTCTCTCAGGATCTTGGTGATGCACGCATATGCACCTGGCTTGAGGTTTAAGCCACAGGATTTGGGACTTGAACTGTGGTCAACTATGTGGGAGTCCAGTTATGTAACCATTATGCCATCTGCTGGTCCCCAAATTACCAAATTTTAATATGATTTCATTGATCTCATATTTTTTGCTGTATTTAAATGGCTTTCTTAATGTATAATCATCTATTAAGGTATGCCTTGTGATTAAAAGATAATTATATGGCCAGCTAATTTGCAGGTGATGTTAGGATATGATTCATCTATGTAATATCTGAACTTTTCTAGATAAATTGTATGGAAAGTAGCAAAATATAAAGATAGTTCAATTTATATAATGATAATGTGCTGGTAATTTATTATTGCAGTAGACTGATTAAAGACTAAATTATTAACCAGTGGAAAATTGGTTGGTCCCTGGTGTTACAACTAACGTTTGAAAATACTTAACTTGTGTGAAGTGTATTCATGTTGGGTAAATTCACTTTACAAGTTGCAGTGATGTATACTGATTGAATGTATAAAGCAAATTTTAAAAATACTTTCTTGTGTGAAATCAATGTCATCTGAAATAAATATTCAGTAAATATGGGCTATCAATTTATAGATATTATCTTATTTAGTCTTCGTACTAATTCCTTGAGTTAAGAATATCATTATCCTAATTTCATAGATAAAGTAACAGATTTATTAAAGTTAAATGACCTATCTGAGGTTATGTAGCCAAACCATTTTGACTACAGGGTCTGGGTTCTTAACTGGTAGACTAGGTTGTGTGATCTGGTGCTAGAGCAGTACTTTCAGTTGCAATGAACTTTTCATGAAAATCTTTAACTGTCAAATAAAACACAAGTGTTTTACTTCTTGAAGTATGCATTTTTACTATTCATGCCAACTAAAATATAACTTCTTTAGTTTCAGCCCACCCATTTAGGATTTGGAACAATTTAATGTGATATGTAGGATTAAAAAGTCATAAAGATTTCTTTATTTGAGATCTTATACTGGCATTCAAGTAAGGTATTGGTGAGAATGAGCAATAATATAATTCAATTTTATGTTATTGAGTGAGGTCATGAAACTTTTTCTGTAAAGGGGCAGATAGTAAATATAGTAAGTAAATGGCTTTGAGAGCCATATGGTCTCTGTTCCAACTACTTAACTCTTCGAAAGCAGCCATAGACAATATGTAAACAAAAGAGCTGACTGTGTTCCATAAAACTACAAAAACAGGCGGCAGCCTGGATCTGGCACATTTGCTGACCTTTGTTACAGAGAATCTTGTAATTTCTGCAGCTAAAAGCTAAGATTTATTTGTGATGAAATGTATGTATGCAAAGTGGAAGTTTTCCTTTAATGAATGCTTTGGCAAAAGAAATTTGCCAAAAAGATAGCAATACCATGAAAGAGAATAGAAATAATAATTTAGTAAAGAATACTATTTACTAATAGAAAAGAATACTTTTTTTTTTAAAAAAATGTATTGCTAAGACTGCTTAGGATAACTACTTTCAAAATGATGTGATAATTTTAGAATATGTTCAGAAGTATAACTTTATTTGTAGAAAAAAATTAAATTATTTTAATATTAAAAATCTATCATTTGGAGTTTTTACCAATTCTGATAAATTTTCATTCCTTCATCATAACTAGGAAGGTTTACTATAAAAAGATAGGACACATAATTAGGTGATGATTTTATTTTACTGAATTTATTTTGAAAAACAGTATCAGTATAGATAGATGAATTTTTGCTATGTAAACATGTGAGATGAATTGTAGGTTCAGAAACTGAGCACTCCGTTTTCAGTATTCAATTTTATAGATTTCTTATTACAGGCTGTTTTGACCCTACAATGTGTTATGGTGCCACAAAATTTTAATAAATGTAAGTCATGTACAGATTTCGCTAATACGATTATGTTGGATATTAAATTCAGTATATATACTTATTCTTCTCAGAGATTCGTCAGCGCACTCCGGCTCAAAGAAACCTTTCTCCAACACCAGCAAGCTCTAACCAGGGTCCTCCTCCACAAGTTCCAGCATCTCCTGGACCACCAAAGGACACTTCAGCCCCTGGTGGACCCCCAGAAAGAACTGTTACTCCAGCCCTACCATCAAATGTGCTACCAAGACGTCTTGGATCTCCTGCTACTTCGGTGCCTGGAATGGGTAAACAGAGCACTTAATGTTATTTACAGTTTATATTGTTTTCTCTGGTTACCAATAAAATGGGCCATTTTCAGACAGTATGGAAGAGGCATTTCATTTGGAAATAGCAGAGCAGTTATCTGATTAAGCAGGAGTTCCATATTCAATTAGCCATAACTCTTTACAGCTGGCACCTTGTGATACTGAAACCTATTTCTTGAGCTCATTTAACTGTTATGGCTTCTTTGTTTAAATGGCAATAAAATTTTGTAGTATTCTGTAGTCAACAGTATAGCATATCTTTTTATATTCAACTGTAGAATGACTCCAGATTTATATAAAATGAGGATAAAGAGAACACTTTTGGAATGTATTTATGTTTTTGGCTAAACCCTATGCATATATTTTTAAACATGACAATTAATATACTTGAGGAGGAATATTTCTGCAGTGTGGTATACAATATTATGCTTGTTATAATGGGCTGGTAGTTTTTTTTCTTTAATTTATAGAATCTTAATATTTTCTAATAGGTTAACTTTATAAAATTCTGTTACATTAACATATTCCCTTTGCTATTTTATTTTTTGGGTCGTCTTTTTTCAGCGTAGTGAATCTCTGGGGGAAGATCCCCTTGTGGAATGTAACAGATTATATTACCCTGCAGTTTCTTTTGGAATGTGACTGAGACATGGAAATCCACTGCTTTACTAAATCACATTAGTTTATGTATATTTCCATGTCAGATGATTAAGTATGATCATAGTTATTTTAGGATATTTAATTCTAATTTGGATTACTTTGTTATTTTATGACAGATTACTAACATAAAATTGTAATGATTTTCAGATAATAGTTGATAACTGATAATCAGAGCATTTGTGCAATAAAACAATAAGAAATTGGGGGCCAGCAGGTGGAGTAGTGGTTATGGTGCTGGACTCCCACATGCCTGACCATAGTTTGAATCCTGGACCTGGCAGCTTGAAAATCATGCCAGACACATGCATGCATGGTGCCCAAAATCTCAGGAGAGAAATAGAGGGGAAGGGACTGTGGTGTGATCATCCCCCCTGGGGGGTGATTTTTCACTTTCCATCTTACTATCTCTGTCTTGCTCTCATATGCCCTATAGCAAAAATCTTAAAAAAAAAAAAAAAAAAAAAAGAGAGAAATCTTAATGTTGCTTACTATGGTAGATTTTTTTCCTGCTTTCCTTAAAAAAATGCAGCATAAGATTTTGGAAGATTATGAAACTATTAATTTGTAAACAAATTAAAAATGCTGGCTACAAGTGAAACATATACAAACTTTATGCCTTGTGAGCAAGTTTTAAAAAAAATACTCTTAAATTTAACATATGACTATTAGGCAACCATATAATTTGTGAAATTAGAACAGTTAAATAGAATGAAAATGAGTCATCTTTCAGTTATCTGTTGATTTGAGGTATATATGATTTGTAAGATAAAGTTTCTGATTATTTAATGAAAACTTTTTTGGTGAGAATACATGAGTGACATACATTTGTGTATCTACCTAGTTTTAAAGAAATAACATTTTAGCAAGCTTTATATAGTAATATAAATAAACTGTATTGCACATGTAAGGATAAGGGTGTCAAGGAAACTGGCCTAGATTTCATGATCATGTAACTATAATTTTTACTGAAATTAATAAGTTTCTATATGGATGACTATGTTTAAGTAGTATTAATACGTTGCTCAAAATGTGAATGAATGAAGTGATTTCTTATAGAGAAGATTCATAATTTAGATTTTCATATTTGTGTAAGAGAATCAATTTAATGTATGTTACCACAGGGCTCCCATATGTTTGAAAATTAATAACCAGCAGGTACTTGATAGTTTGCCAAGTTGTATAAAATGACCAGTATTCCTACAATGATTGTTTTTGATGTTTAGATTAATTACTGTTGTCTATAACAGCATAAGTATGAAGGTGCATTATTTTAAGTTATTAGTGTATAAGAGATTTAAGATATTTTTATGAAATCTGTTGTTTAATGTATCCAGATTCCTTTTGGACATGTTCACTTTAAATATGTAAAGGTAAAATACCCTAGCAAAAGCTAAGTTGTCATTAAATGCTTTCAAAATCTAATTACATGCTTATTCAAGTTGAAAATTTGATAATGAGGTATCACAATGTCTGCATTCAAGTTTAGTTTTTGATGAAAGTAATTGAATGTTATTAGTACAAGTTAAACAGTAACTTATCTGATGCAACCTTAAAGACTACTAAGAAGTTGTTCTAGAATCTGAATTTTATTTGTTAGTAGCTATAATTTTGATATCAGTTGCTCTTTTTTTAGGTGGTAATAGCCACTTGTAATTATGTACTAAGTAAATTTTTTTTTGTTCTTTTAAAACATGAATATAATATTGCTATCCTAAAGCCAGTCTTCAATAGTTTGGAGATTTTGTTGCAGCCATTTTGAAAATCTTGTATCCTTGTATTGCAAAACTTGTTCCTACAGGATTTCATTTTGCATTAGAGTCTTCTGTAAGATCTCCATGTAATTCTCCCATTGCTGCCTGCCTTATTCTATGTTCATCTTATCCTTTTTTTTTTTGGAAAAAAATTTATTTAATTTTATTTATTATTATTATTTTTAAATTTGCTATAGGCATGTACACTCACCAGAGAGAGACAAAGAGAAAGAGGGAAAGTGAAAAAGGAAGACCCAGGTCCAGACTTGAACCACAGTTGGCCATATGGAGTCCTTAACCATCACACCACCTGCTGGCCCCATCTTGTCTTGTTATACAGAAGCAGACATCACATTTTATTTACTTTATTCTTTCACTTTCTTCTCAGTTCCACCTTCTGTGTTGTCTCTCACTTAGGAAATCTCTTGAAAACTGTACCCTTGGGAACCAGCAGTTAGCGTAATGGCTATGTTGCTGGACTCCCACGTAGTTGACCACGGTTCGTGTCCCCGACCCAGTGGCTTAAAACTCATGCCGGGCACGTGTGCGTGCGTGCCCAGGATCCCAAGAGGAGAATGGAGGAGAAGGGATTGCGGCGTGACCATCCCCCCTGGGGGGGTGATTTCTCACTTTCTTTCTCTATGTCTCTCTCTGTCTGGCGAGCACACGTGCCCTATAGTGAAAACCTCTCAAAAAAAAAAAAAAAAAACTGTACTCCTTTATTTTTCAGAAATCACAGCATTCATAAAGTTTGAATATATAACTATTCTTGTTGCTATTATTTTTATGTAATATAAATGATTAACTAAATTTTGTGTTACTCTTCCATCCTTGAATTTACATTAGTTTCTTCTGATATTACTTGGTTTATTATGTGAACACAGTATATTTCTCCATTTGTTTAGGTTGTTAATTTCTCTTAGCAATGTTTCGTAGTGTTTAGTGTATAGATTTTGCACTATAAATCTTGCCAAACTCACTTATTGGTTCTGGCAGTTTTTCTTTTCTTTTCTTTTTTTAAAAAAGAATTATTTAATTTTATTTATCATTATTTATTTTTATTATTTTTAAATTTGCTGTAGGACACATGTGCTCACTAGAGAGAGTGAGTGAGAAAACAAGCTGCTAGGTCCATGACTTGAACCGTGGTTGGTCATGTGGGTTTCCAGCACCTTAATTACCACACCACCTGCTGACTCCAGTCCTAGTAATTTTTAAAAATAAAATTCATAGCATTTTTTCCATGGACAAACACATTTTCTATGAATAAAGAAAACTGTACTTTTTCATTTCCAATCTGGTTTCATCTTATTTCTTTTTCTTACCTTATTTCACTAGCTTAAATCTACAATATTGAATAGAAGTGATGAGAGCATTCTTTCCTTGTTGATCTGGGGAGAAAAGTAATTATTCTCTCACCACTCAGCCTAGTGTTCTAGGGTTTTTTGTTTTGTTTTTGCTTTGTTTTTAAAATAAATATCTCTTATTTGATTGAGAAAATGTCCTTCTATTCCTAGTTAGCTGAAGATTTTTATGGGCAATAAATGAGGGATTTCATAAAATTAAAATTTTTTTTTCTATATGGTATATGTGTTTCCAGAGAGAGCGACACAAAGAGAGAGAGATAGAGAGGGAAAGTGAGAACTCATCCCCCAGTGTAGGGTGTGTGTGTATGTGTGTGTGTGTTTGTCTGCTGCAATCCCTTCTCCCTTTTCTCACGATTTTGGGAATGCATGCACTTGTACTTGTATTTTGCTAGCTGCTTGGTTCTGGACTTGAACTGCACAGCTAGGTGGTATTCAGCTGCCTTAACTATTATACCACTTGGCTGGCCCATCTAATGCTTTTTCTACATCTATTGAGATGTTATTTTTTAATTTAATCATTGCATGCCATTACAGCATATAATATGGGTTCTCAAAGCATAAATGCATTGTATGTTAAGCAAGTCAAAGATATAACTGTACATGATAACTTTCCATCTTGTGTTTATTAAATGTTTTTTAAATTTATTTCAATGTCTGTTCATATAGAGAATTACATTCTTTTTTTTTTTAAAGTTTTTTTTCATGAGAGAGACATACAGAGAGGAAAGTACCCTCAGCAGGGCCTCACACTGTGATCTTCCCATTGCAGCCTTTATTGCTAGCCAGGGTCCTGGATACACGCTGTCACACCTGGTGTGTACAGGTCCACTGGGGAGCCAACCCCTGATCTTCCATATGGTTTTCAACATTGAAGAGCAATGTGCTACCACTACAGCTGGGTTGCACTGATTGATTTTTAAGTATGTTTTTAAAAATTTTTGTCTCTTTATTCATGGTAGAATACATGAGTACACATGTGAAGGTAAGAAAGAGATGAACACCCTCTACTGGGTCTGGTCATGCTGCTATTCCCTTCCTCCAGTCTCCAGTCCATTGGATCTTCGGTATTCATTTATGTTCCCAGTTGTGTTCCAGGCTGAGGAGGCTGGAGATTTGAACTGTAGTTGCCATGTGGAACCTAACTCCTCTTGAGTAGCACATTAGTACTGTACCATAGAGCTGGCCCAATTATTATTATTAA